AAATTGCCAATAAAGATCTTTAATTAAATTGGAGTCAGATATAATTTGGTCTTTACCTAAAACGGGTAAGTAATTTTACAGAAGCGCTCGGAAGGATGCACACGCATTTCAAGCCTTCGGCTGTCCAATTGGATTCTGCCATTGGGCCAGAGGACGGTTCCCCTACAATTTCCTGGTTGATTTCTCTTGATTTTCCCATGATGTCACAGAACAAGGCTCCAATACATGCACAGGTGTGCCACCAATTAACTCAAATGGTCAATTAACACATCAGAAGCTTCTAAAGCTCAGACTGGAAGTTTTCTATGTTGTTTAAAGACATCATAAACTTAGTGTATGTAAACTTCTGACTTTGATGAAAGTAATACAAATAAAAAAATAAAATGATCTCTCTCTTTATTCCAACATTTAACAAATACAAAAAAAATTTGGTGATCCTAACTCACCTAAAACAGAAAAAGGTTCTTCTAATTTAATGTTTGACGGTGAAAAAATTAGTCTTTTTCTGAAGTTTATGTAAACTTGTATGTAAAAATGTATGTAAACTTCTGGTTTTAACTGTATATCACATGTTAACTTACTTTAAGTAAGAAATATATGTGATTGTAAGGTGCTGAAATCTTTACCTTCATAAGCTTTCTGAGGAAAAAAAAATCTGTTTTCTTCTCTTTATTAGCCTTAGTTTTCCTGTTATTATTTTCCTGCTTTTATGCAAAATTACATTATACTCATCCATAGTTACATTGTGTTCAGGGGGCAGCGTGTGGCTCTGTGGTTCCTTGAGTTAGGCCCTTGACCCCCAGCTCCCTGGGTGCTGCTACAGGTGGCTGCTCTTCACAGACAACTCACTCTGCAAAGAGCAAGTTCAGGGCGGTGTAAAGACAATTTCCCCACAGGGATTAATAAAGTATCAATTATTATTATTATTTATAAATGTGAATGGGAACATTTACATGTTTTTCTGTATGCTTGTTATACATTCAGTGATAGTAAACACAGTTTTTTTACTGTCTTTTTATGGGTGAAAGGCAATTATTTGTATGTTTTGTTAATATTTTGGCATCTTTGGGCAGTATACATACATTTCAACAAAACTGTAACTTGCTGATTTGTTGTCTTTTAGCATGAGTCAGAGGGCCATGGTTCTCCTATAACTCTGTATGAAACCATTGGGGAACTAAATGTAAAACCAGAGGTAAGATTTTTTAACTAAACAATAACACTATTAGTTATACACTTGTAAAGGTTTTGTAAACTTTCTTAACTATAACAACTAACATTCTCCTATATGTAGCGCTGATAAGAAGGATTCACTGGCCTTGGAATTTTTGTCATTTTGCTGCAGACATTTTGGTGCATTGCAAAGACGTGGTTTATGTGGAGATAAAACAAGCTAAATACATACAAAGCCCACAGAGTTACTATCAGCCTCTCAGAGTAAACTGATCAACTCAAAATTGAATATCTGCCATTTTGGCAAATCCCTCTACAGTCTGTGTTAATGAGTTTTCCTGGACAGACAGATCTTGTATTACATTGATCTGTTATGTTTCACTCCTCAGACGGTATATGACCGGGTGGATTTGAATCGTAGCTGTGCACCTGCTCTATCTCCCCTGAAGAAAGTGCTTTAAAGACTGGAAACCCTACATGTGAATTCCAAAATTAAGACATCTATGTACAGTAAGCATATATCTATCCATCCATATGGACTGAAAACTGCTTATCTAATACAAGCTTACAAAAAGCCTGAAACCTAAATCAGACAGATAAGGCTGAGACAGGGGAAACATTTTAAAGATATGTTTTTTCAAGGTAAATTGGAATATGGTCCATTTTGTCAATGTACCCATTCTTCATATCTTCAGTCGCTTATCCTGTAAAGAGTTGCCAAGGGATTGCAGCTTATCAGCAGCAGATAGAGCAAAATACTGATTATGGAATGTGACGATAAATTGAGTTTATATAGGACAATTACTACTTTTGATTTAGAAAAAGTAATATTTTAAAAGATACACATTACTACAGTATTTACATTTCTTTAAATGCTTAAAATATGAGGCACATAAAAGCACAAGTCAGCATGTACTTCTACACAGTTAATGTATGATTTTCATGATGTTGTTTGATTTGTATGTTTTTCTCATGTTTCATATTTGCTCTAAACTGTAAAACAGCTCATAACAGAACCAAATTTCAATATCTGAGAAACTGTTTTTAAAATAAAACAATTTCTTACAAAGTTATACCTATGTTGAAATTGTATAAAATAGTTCAGTTTTTACTATATACATCATTAACATTGTATTACCTTGAAAAAATATGTAATTTATTAGAAAAAATACACACAGAGATTTTGGTCATTGGTATTATAGGAAATCATACTATTTTTCATCATAGGGTGTGTCCAAAATCAAACACTTACTTCCTAAATATTTGATAAATAGTAGGAGAAATGTAGTATGAGAGGTGAACAGAATATTAACCGATGGAGACTAAGCTATCCCATAAGGCCATTGGACCTGCAACCGGAGATGAAGAACATAACCTGCTCAGAAAATTGTGTCAAGATGGCACAGAAGGTGCTGTCTGTATATAAATTTAAGTAAAAACCAATACCTACATACTGTATGCATATATTTTTTTGAGATTTTGGTTACAATGATAAAGTGGGAACCAACTATCATTCTGAATTGTGGTACTCAGGAGCATACTTACACTGACATTTTGACAGTATATGTAAGCATTTTGACTCATGGTTAAAATGATGGTAATTGTACTTTTAATTTTGGTGGCACCGACTAATTCATTGGTGTAATTATTTGATTTTGAGATACGAGTTAATTGTTTGGGCAAGTTACAGACTTTTGCAGCTAAACCACAATGTTATACTATATACATGAAGTGTTTTGAGAAATGCTCTTATGGTCTTTAGAATGTTATGTACTGTTTCACAAAATGTGCCAAAGCAATTGAGAAAGACTGTAAGAGTATCTTGTTGGAATAATGGGAGTAGAAATATTGGACTAATCAGTTTTTGTATTGTTCTTTTAGTTACAGTTGTTTAAATTGCACGTCTATTCTACAAGACCATATTCATTTTTTGCAATGTGGGGTATGACGTTGCCTTTAAATTCAAAATAAATAAATTAATGAATATGGCAGATTTCAAATGTAATTGATGCAACATATTGTTTTACAGTATGCAGCATGCAGAAACAGTGCCACGTGGAAATGCAATGCACAAGAGAGATTGATTTCAGTGAGTGATGTGAAGAGAATGTGACACAATGAAAAGCAAAACCATCATTCCTTTGCTTGGCATTTTATTTAACTACCATCCAGAAAAACAATGAGAAGGGTTTACATCACACAAAATGTTACAAGGAAATTGGTCCACATCTCACCAAAACACAATGGCCATCTTTGCTCTGCTCCTCGGCTCAGATTCATTTTCAGAATGTTCACCAGGAAGTGTAATCACTGTCCAATCACAGCACTTCAGCAAGCAGGGGACATGGTTGCAGTGTGTGGATACAGTTAGAATACACCTGAGATCCAGAGAATATTTGTGACGACTTGGCCACAATTAGCATATTGTTTAGCTGTGCATTTACTAAATGAGCACTGTGCTACTTCCGAACTGACCCCACTGTATTTTTTTGTATAATCAATTTCTATTATGCATTTAAAGTCATGTTTAAATTTTATTGTATGTTGATGGCTTGACTGTAAAC